ATAATTTGTAACGATTTTTTTTGTTTAAATTTTGTTTATAATTATTAAATTTTCATAAACAAATGAATATTTTACTGGAGAATTTTCTTTACAAATATAATAATTGCTAATTAATTGTTTGGTGTTGTCAATTTATCGAGTCTTTGTTGAAAATGGTGAAAAACAGCTTATTTTGAAATGATATGTGAAAAAAGTACGATAATTGCTAATAAGCTATTAGTGATACTGTTGTCAGTGTTAATTGAAGTTAAGAAAAAAAATTCACTCGAAAAAATGGTGAATTCATTTTATCATCAGTCGTATAATAATATTTGTATTAATTATTGGTTAAAAGAGAAAAAAAAATTTTTTATTTTTTTAGCAAAATTAAGTAGCTCTAAAAATGGAAAATTTCGAATTTCGCAATTAAATATTTGATTATTGCTTAATTTAACAGATAATGTTTTCTTCCAGTAATTAATTATCATCGAAAATGTGCATTATTCACCTATTTCAGTAACATCTCACTAGTTTGTATGCGCTTTATATTTTGTGTCAGTGAATTTGTTAACATCGTAGTTAAGAAAATTTTCTCGAAGTACTGGATTTGTCAGGGTAGACTGTTACAGTAATTGCAAGAATTAATTACTGGAAGTAATAAATTCCTGCACTTCCTGTAGCGGTTTATGTTTTTAGGCTAAATAACATAAGAGTATACTTCCATGTCGCTGATATTTGACAAATATAATTTATTGATTTTTTTCGTTTCTATCAAAAATCAATAATGTTTACAATAGCAACTACAGAAATAGCAAACCAAACTTCAAGTTTTACATCGAAAGATGGCAAGATGAAAAATATGGTAGCAATTTCAAAAATTGAAAAAAAACTTTTAGAAAAACATTAAGGAAAAAAAATTCAAAAAAAAAAATTATTGGAATAAAGCACTTGCGAAATGAATTACTATTATAACATTGAGTTCTGCATAAAATGTAATAAATGAAATTAAATTATATCGATTAGTAAAGTTTCGCATCATTATGTGCCATTTCAGTACAATTGAAAATTCAAAAACATAAAAGAGATTTGGATTAATTAACCATTTGATAAAGATTTTATTATTCATCTGATGAAAATTTTATGTGATCAAATATTGGATGCAGCAATATTTATCATACAGTATCAGGCATTATACAATATCTGTAATATATTGATAAATAGTTTTAATATATTTAATATATTGATAAATAAGATTGATAAATAATCACTATTAAAGACCGATACTGTATAATGCCTTTGATTTTTCATAGCAATGTAAAATTAATCAATCTCAAAGATTATATTGAGAAAATTTGTAAGTATAACAAGAAAGATAATACTTTGAAAATTTCTGTTCACATGAAAATTAATAAAGTTGAAGCAATAATTATGACATAA